TCTGGATGTTGATGAGGGCTCCTATTAGGACCAATGCATAACAGAGAATATAAAGAGGTACAAAAGCCCAAGAGGGAGAACCCATAGAGAATTATTAAGAAGTATTTGGATGCCTGTGTAAACTTGATTTTCAGGTCATTGATAATGTCCTGAAATGCAATTGTAAAAGAAGCAAAAAGCTGGTCACTGTTGTGAAAAGATGTTCATACAGAAGTGGTTTGTAAGAGAGTTGTAAAACTCTTCTTTTTAAACTTCATTTATGCCAAGGGAGCCTTTTAAAAAGACTTGCAGTGGTGGTGGGGAGATGATTTTTGATGGGGTCCCAGCAATGGGGACAGGAGCATTAAGCATTCCCTCCCCACAGCAATCCTCCCTACTTCACTCCCCACCCACCCCTGCAATGCAAAGAGGCTTTGAAAGAGTCTTCATTTGTACCAAGGGCAGCATTCTTCAAGCCTCATTGCAATGGAAGAAGGATAATTAAGTGTCTGAGGGTACCGGGAGGGATAAACTTTATCAATGTTCACAGCATGTGGATTTTATTTGCTGTGTTTGGTTTGTCTTTTGGCTGGTTGTACATAAATACATTTCCTGGAAATGCTCTCTTTGACTTGCCTCTTGGTTTAAATGAGGCAAGCTTTATTTGCTGAAGCATGTGACATGGAACACCAACGCCCTTAGTAGTACCTTCCCAATGAGGTGGAGCAATTCATCTGATGGTGTTATTGTTGCTGCTAATAAGTGTTGCTTGCCTCCTTTTGTTTTCAAAAACAAACAACACTTCCATGGCCACCTTTTGCTAATCCCCACCCAAAGCCTGTCCATGCGTCCCTGTGTCAAGGGGGCTGGCCTGTCTAAGCCCCACCCAAAAAACCCTCCGAGGTCTATCTTTATCATATCTGGGTGGCCTCAGCAGCCAAGCTGAAAGCAATCCCCAGCTTTCTAGTTCTAAACGATCATCTTTGTTTCTTTGTAGGTTGTCTGCAAGTCCAGTTAGACATTGGTGGACTGGTGAGTCTCCTAGGTCAGGCTCTGCCCCACCCAAAGTCTGTCCGGGCATCCCCCGGGCCAAAGAGGGTCTGTCTCAGCCCCACCCACAAAGTCTGTCCGGGCATCATCCCATTGTCCTGGCTTCAGACTGCAGAGCTTGTCTGGTTTTCAAACTGTACCAAGGGGGCCAGCCTGTCTAAGCATCTTTGTCGCCCCATCGCCCGGCTTCAGATAGCAGAGCTGATCTCTTTCTGACAGCCCCGTGGCCCTGTGGATTAACCACTGTTAGTAGCACCTGCCCTGTTCATCTGATGGTGCTGCTGGTGCTGTTGAAAGTTGCAAGCCACCTCAGTTGCCTCCTGGGGGCAAAAACCTTTCCTTTGCAGACAAATCTGATGTTGCTGAAGAAGACCAGAGTCTGTTCTGCTGCCTTTTGCCTCAGTGCCCCGATGGGGCAAGGCATACCACTTTGCTGCTGCCAACTACTTCAGTGCCCGATGCGGCCAAAAAGAGCCTGCTTTCCTGATGCCTATTCCCTCAGTGCCCAATGGAGCCAAAAGAGCCTGGTTTCTTGCTGCCACCTTCCTCAGTGCCTGACAGAGCCAAAAAGCCTGCTATGCTGCCAAATGCCTCCTTGCCTGCAGTCCTCCTGAGGGCAAACTCTACTTCACTGACAAATGTACTGTTTTGTTGAGCTGCCTCATGCATGCCTCTGCCAAAAGGACCTCTCATTCTGCTGGGGCCAAATATAACTCCCTCAATGCCATGGGCTTCTGTGCCGTGTGGTAAACTCTCCTGGGGGGGGACACCCAATTTGTGGATGAATAACTCGGAGTTCCGATATCTAATCTTCTCCAAACTTGGCAGGCTTGTTGGGGAAAGACATAGGAAGCTCCGTTGTGATTCTGGATTCTCTAAGCACCTTGGGGGAGGTTTCCGGGGGGTCCTCTTTGTGACTATTTAACTCGGGGGTCTGTGATCCAATGTTCACCAAATTTTCAGAAGTTGTAGAAAGGCATTTGAAGAAGCTTCCCTGAAAATCTAGTTTCTCTAGGTTATTGGGTGACAGTGTTATAGCCATTTAAAGCGCAGATGAATTCCATTGGGTGCCAGTGTTATAGCCATTTAAAGCGCAGCTGAATTGACAGATTGATTCATCGATTCATCGAAGAATATTTGTATATTCCTATTCGTTGATCCGTTAACCTTAACAAATAAAGGATCAAAACAAATTGTCATTTTTTAAAAATTGTCCCTCTCTCTAATCCAGACTTTTTGTGTTGAACACACAAAGAGCTGCATCACTTTGGGGTGGGATGAGACTGTAGGCACAGGTTTTAACTCTGTTTCCAGGTCACCGCCGGTCTTCAGGCCATGCATGCTTTCAAGATGAACATCTGTACAGGGCCTCTGGTGCTTATAGATTAAACCCCTATTACAGGAAACCTTAGCCCTGTTCAGGCTTTTATTCAGATTGCAACAAATGTGTAACATGGGGATAGAGATCAATATTGTGCTTTCTGCCCCACTGCTGATTTCCAGCATTCAAGCATCTTGTGCATACACCCCACTCTTGCCCATGCCAGACTGCTATAAGCATACTCTGGGTCCTCACTTCTTCTAAGATACCCTGTGCTTTTGGGGTTGTGTGTATGTTGGCACTGTGCAAACAGCATGGTGAAACACAGATGTCACCAAGGAATCAATCATTCAAAAATGTATGGAGAATGATTCTGGGCAATAATGTGCCCTGGATGTTACGCTGTTTTAAATAGTTTTGGAATCAGTCTGATTATCACTAAATCACAAAGATGTGGTTGCCAGGTTTCAGGGTGAAGTCTCAGAGCATTGGTATGCTTCAGTGGGTCTCTAGGCACGGACACAAATCTCAGGATGAGCTATGCTGAATGAAAAATAAAAACAAGCTTACTCTTTTTGTGAGTCAGGAAGTTCAGGGCCCTCATATTCCATCATCTCCAGCTGGTGCCAGAATTCACTGGCTCAGTGCAAAAGTAAGGCAGAGTTAGTACACTATGAATGCAAAAGCAAGGGGAAGAAACTGGACAGAGAGAGCATGGATGCAGGTGAATGCATTTGGATTTTGTCCAACTGCTTATGCCCATTTCTCAAATCGACTGGCAGTTTCAATCTCCTTCCCAGTCCTTGCCTGTTGCACCTCTGTGACATCACAAAGATGTGTCCACTGGTCTTAGGTTTCACCCTGAAATCTCGAGGTGTGGGAAGTTGTTGACCTGACAGCTCTATGTTTATTTTTGCTTCTACTCCACCTCCTTATTAGTACCCACATTTCAATTAGGCTTCTTGAAATTAGAAGGATATGATTTGAAATGGGGCTGGCATGCATTCTTATGGTATAACCGGACTGAGGATTTTAAACAACGTAGCAACCATATATTAAGGAAGGCACTTCTATCAATGTGGAATAAAGTGAAAAACCAAATGTATATCAAAATACCACACTGGGTGATGCCAACTGAAGCATTTGCTCTACCATATCTGACAGAAAACAAGAAAATAGTAAGATACAGTGAGGTTTTAAGTCTTGATGGTTCTATCAAAACACAAGAGTTAGTATATCAAGGCATCGAAATGGATTGGTGGGCACGATCACAATTATTATCAAGGTTTGCTAAAGATAATCAACAGAGCTTTTACCTAGAAAATACCCCTTTTGACAGAATTCTTCTAGAACCAGAGGGGAAATGTATTAAGTTATTATATAATCTTCTGTTAGATTTTGAAACACACGATGAAGTGGTAAAGGCATATATGATTAAATGGGCACAGAACGTAGGACATAATATTGAACTGGATCAATGGGAACAAATTTGGAAAACAAATATAAAATTAACTAAATCTGTTGTATTTAAAGAGAATATATACAAAATGTTCTACAGATGGTACATGACCTCCACTACACTGGCTAAAATAAGCACACAGATTTTAAATCTGCCTAGAGTGGTCATATCGACCAGATAGGCGGGGTATAAATAAAATAAAATAAAATAAATAATGTTGGAAAATGTAAACATAAAGAAGGAACATGTTATCACATGTGGTGGATGTACCCATTTCTCAAATCGGCTGGCAGTTTCAATCTCCTTCCCAGTCCTTGCCTGTTGCACCTCTGTGACATCACAAAGATGTGTCCACTGATCTTAGGTTTCACCTGAAATCTCAGGGTGTGGGATGTTGTTGAACTGACAGCTTTATGTTTATTTTTGCTTCTACACCTTTATTTATTTTATTTATTTGATTTATATACCACCCATCTGGTATATTCTACCACCTTATTAGTACCCACATTTCAATGACGTGGCAATGGAATAGTGTTTTTGGGGAGGGTGTTCTAGTCTTTGGTTCAAATCCCAAGGCAGATAGAAAGTCAATTAGAGTGCATGGCAAGCATTCTGAATTCTCATCAGATCCTTCCCATGTGTAAAAGCCTATTCTCTGCTTTACTAGCCAGTAATATGGGTTGATTGGCACTATTCAGGAGATTACAGCTTCACTAACTTTATTACAGTCACTTTATTAATACTAAATTTGATAATCTCTTTCACTTTTGTGTTACTTCTAGGAAGAATTAATGCTTTGTCTGAAATCTAGTAGTAAATTGCAAAGAGAGTAGGCTCACTGAATCAATGGGAATTTGGTGAGTCAACTCCTCCATAAACTCCACTGATTCAGTAGGCGTACTCTAGTTGTGATTTACTGCTGGATTTCAGCCAATGACATACTGAAGCCATACTAAGCAAATGTATGATGCTGGTCCGGAACACTGTTCAGTTGTAGATGGCTCCGGTTCATTGTCGCCTTTATTCTCCTTCAAAGTAGCATTCTAAGCATTGTAACTAATTGGATGTTAATTTCCCCCAAACAGTTTAATTTCTCTTCCTTCCACATCCACACTCAACAGAAATGGTGCATTCTCCAGTCCTGGAGATGGGCAAACATTTAAGTTCTGTGCTTTGTCTCCATCCTTGCAGGGAACATCACTGTCTGCCTTGGAGTGGTCAGAACAACAGATCAGGAAAGCTGCTAGTCTAGAAGACCTCCTGAAAATTACCCATTCTGAGGACTGGAAGCTGTGGAAGTGCAGACTAAAGCTCAAGAGTGTGGCCACCTTAGATTCCAGATCTCCTTCACATCGTTCCACAAGATTTGCAGCTGCTTTCTATGATATTGAGATGCTCAAAAGTAGGTGTGAAGTGTTTGACCTTGATTTCCCTCCCCCTGGGATTAATTTTGAGTACCACAACTTTGGAGAGCCCTGAGCCTCCTACATAAGAATCCATTGCTTTGTTCTCTTAAGTTTTCTTCATTCCAAAAATACTGAAAGATGTGTTTGTCATTTCTGTTGTTGCTAATGGAGGGCGAGAGAGAGAGACTCTTGCCAGTTTATTGCAACTTTCCTAAAGATCTGCCAGTAGAGTTGGATCCCCTCTCAGTCCACTCCTACTATGCAGTATATATCAGGCAGAGTTTCTTTGAAACATATGTACAGAATAATGTAAGTGTATCAATTCTGTGTTTTATGTGTTTGAAATAATGTACACTTGCTAGGTATGGGACTTTCTTATTGGTTTGTTTACAGCACTATGTTGATGTTCTGCTCTTGACATTACTTGAAGATGGAGGTCAAAACTAGTGTGGAAAGGATGGGAGCCACTATTTCTCTTGCGATCATGATGGCATAGTCACTGTGCAGTAGGTGCTACACAGCACACAGGCACTGTCCATAAGGCACCCTACAATCACAATTGTTCTGCTTGTTTTCTGTGGAGAAATGACATTTTATCAGTGACAAAATAGTAGAGCTCATTACGTGAGAGAGATTATGTTCTTGGAATCCCTTGGGGGGAAAATATGCAAGCAGTGTGCATTCATTACATAGTTAAAATATGCACCTGGAAGGGTCTCTTAGAATAAGCAAATGGATATCCAGAGAAATAATGCCATACATTCAATGTTTTTGAGGAAATGCTGGACTGGAGGTCTAGTTTAAACTGCAGAGAAGATCCTATTTCCACTTCAGTTTGTAATATGGAACAATTTGTTTTAATTGAAAGCAACCAGCACCAAAGGGAAAAACAGAGTTCAGAGAAGATATTCAATTTGTGCCACAGAATTCTTTAAATTGTTTTCTTCTTCATTTTTTTTCAAATGTAACCAAAATGATAGCTGTTTTAAATAGACTCTTTTCCACTCGACAAAGGAGGGGGGGGGGAACGCACACAAAAAAAACAGCAAATATCTAAGAGTCACTGTTGAAGGAATGTGTCAACAGCTATGTTTGTAGACACACAAGGAAGGGGGGGTAGAAAGGGGTGGAATTTGCCAACAGCCCAGAAAAAAACAACAAAGCAAAGCAAAGCAATAAGCATTTAAATTCCTGTTTTATTAGGTGTGTCCTGATATAAAACACTTCATTAGCTTGGATGTTGCTGGGCAGGATCTGCCTAAAGGGCTATTCACACAAAAAGTGTGGGGGGGGGGACTAGAGCCAAGCACAATGAAAATTATGTGTACTAGTGTGATACATCAGCTTCCTCCCTGTTAATCATTTTGTATTTGCCCCTGCGGCTGTTTATTTAACAGCCATTTGATCTGGAAGAATTAGCAGATGATAACTCTGTGTTCTGAAAAGTCATTTGCTGATTTTGCTTGTCACAGTGTTGAGAAAGGGACAGAAAAGGGGCCAGCATTATCTCCACCCCTCCCCCATAAGACATGCTCACCTCGAAGGAGTCAGCAGTATAATTGTATCATCTACGAGGACTGATAAGGCTCTTCATGGATGGAATTCAGTACCACTAGTCATTCGCTCAATTGCTGAGGTGAATATACATCCTTGTGTGTGTTATGTGCCATCAAGTTGCCTCTGCCATGTATATACCCCCAAGTCCTTCATGGGTAGGAGGACCCCAAAAGGATTGGAACTAAGGTCTCTCTTTGCCACTCAACTTTAATGAACAGGTTAACGAAGTAACTACAAACTGCTCCTACAGTACAGGTACTACAGTAGACGGCCACAGTTAAGTCCACTGTGAGGTAGTCCTCAGGTCCAAAAGTGCGGAGTGGCAGCAGCATCCTCCCCATGCAAGTCTTCAGGGGTCTTGAACTGCCCCCATCTCTATATTCTGCCACAGAAGTAGGATGTCATATGTTGAATAGTTTCTATCTTGGCCTCCAACTGCTGGAGGTGATTAAATGGCCTCTGTCTCCTCCAATGCTGCAACTCGGTAGGAGTGTGGGGTCCTTGGGGCTGGTTGCACGCATGGCTGTTGGCATCTCCTTCGTGTGTTGCCATCCCTTGGCCAACTGAAACTTATCGGCAGCACTTCCTTGGATGGTTCCACTTGGGCCACTCTGGGGTGTCCAGCCAGATCTGTCTCTTCTCCTTTTCCTCTTCCCTCTCCTCCTCTTCCTTGACCAACCACTACCAGTCCCTCCCCCTGTACTGCCTTCTCACTCTATTCTAAAATACAAGATGGCGGCAAACCAGACAGTATAGATCCCTACCAAGCCCACCAGGCACAATTCACATAGAGCATGAAGATACCGGGGCAAGGTGTTAGGGGAACCACAATATTTACAGGAGCACTAAAAATATGTAGGAGAAATCCACACACAGACTCCAACAATAGCTTGTGTGCGCATACACAGAGAAATGGTCAATGTGAACTAAACGTGCCTAGTTGTTATGGTATGCTAACCTGCTACTGGGTGGGTGGAAATGGGGACTAGTATGCAGGAATGCTTGATTGGCTGATTTATGAATGGGACTATTGTTGTAGATCCTATTTGTTTGTAATAATAACAAATGGTAAGGGCTGTTTGGTCCTCTGTCAAGCACCCTCTAATCTTTTACAGATATGGAGAACTCATGTGGGCATCTTCAGACAACCTGCTGAATCCTGCAATCCTGTTGTGACTCTTGCTGTATTTAAAATGGCTTTGTGTTTTCTAGTTATCGACGAGGAGTGGCAAAGGACTCAGTGTATGCCAAGAGAGACCTGTGTTGAAGTTGCCAAAGAGCTGGGAGCAACCACCAATACATTCTTCAAGCCTCCTTGTGTGAATGTGTACAGATGTGGAGGATGCTGTAATGAAGAGAGCTTGAGCTGTATGAACACCACCACGTCCTATGTTTCCAAAATGGTATTTAGACCATTTCCTACTCTTTTGTAAGCACAGCATGTTGATAATGAATCTAATAGCTTCATTCTAGGCGTGCTTACTTAAATGTAAGCCCGATTTAAATGGATGGACTCACAACTTGCTCCTAGGCGAGGATACACATGACATTACCTCATACAGAGCCAGCTCTGTATGAGGTAGCTGTCCAGCTCAATGCCTACCAGATGTTTTGGAAGATAACTCCCATGCGCATCAGCCAGCATGACCAGCGCACAGGTATGCTAGAAGCTGCAAGCCAACACACTTAAAGGGGACTAGGTTGAAGCTGATTGACAGAACATCATTATACTGATTGACAGAACATCTATGGGCTTCAGACAGGAGTCTTTTGTAGTCCACCAGGAAATGAACCCAGGATTTCTGCATGCAGGGCATGAGCTCAACAACTGAGCCTGCACCAAGAGGGTGTACAGCCTGAAAATGTCAGAGAAATCAGGTCTACTGGCAACACAGTCTAATGTTCCAGAGATGACATGTTTATCATTCTGTTTCAAAGTACCATTTATCAGGGTTGGGGCCTCAAGAATTGCTATTGAGTCAAGTTACACCAGCATCTCAATGTGGACAATTTAATTTTTTAAAAAATAGACTTGGACCATAGCCAATGCATCCTCCCTCTCCCTCCTTCCTTCCCAATGATCAATAAACAATACCTGTGGGGGAGGCAGTGGGAAGGACATGGAGGGACACACACTGACACATGGCCACGGTCACCTCCACTGCTCCGGAGCCCCTCCTCCTTTTCTTGAACAAGGGCCCCACGCCCAAATGCACGTCCACTGCCACAGCTCGGGAGGCTTCTGTGGAAGCTGCAGAGTGACACAAGAGACCAAGATGGCAGTGGCTGTTATCAGCACCGACAACAGCAGCAGGTCCTGCCTAGGTGGGGAGCATCAATGGGTCTGGCAAGGAGGTGGAATTAGCCCCTTTCAATTTCCCAATATTATTAAGTGGCTTAAGAAGAAAGGTTAGCAAGTTCAGAATACTAGGAAATTAAACACTTCTTCTGCTCCTCACTTTTTAAAAAGTTTTTTTAAAACTTCATTAGGACAGTGCTGGCGTACTGTACTATACCTCTTAGATTTTTTTTTTTATTAAAGCCTCTTCCCAGAAGCAGGAGGAGACAGAAGAGTTTATTTTAATTTAATTTAATTTTCCTTAAGGAGGTGATCCAACAGAATTGCCTGAGATGTCTATGCTGTTTGGATGCAAAGATTACACCTAATGGTATACTGAACCTTGACTTTAAGCGACCCTATTTAGCCCAATCCAGCTTCTCCAATTGAGCTTTGTAGACAAACCCTTAGATTGAGAGTTTAAATCCAAATTAGTCACCACCAGAGTAGACCCATTAAATCAATGAGATTTGTGCAGGTGGTTGTTGTTTAGTTGTTAAGTCGTGTCCAGCTCTTTGTGACCCCATGGACGAGAACACGCCAGGCCCTCCCCTCTTCCACTGCCTCTGGTAGCTGGGTCAAATTCATGTTGGTGGCTTCAATGACACTGTCCAACCATCTCATCCGCCTTTCTCCTCCTGCTGTCACATTTTTCCAACATCAGGGTCTTTTCCAGGGAGTCTTCTCTTCTCACGAGATGGCCAAAGTATTAGAGCCTCAGCTTCAGGATCTGTCCTTCCAGTGAGCACTCAGGCTTGATATCCTTCAGAATTGATAGGTTTGTTCTCCTTGCAGTCCAGGGGATTCTCAAGAGTCTCCTCCAGCACCACAATTAAAAAGTATGTCACATTTTTCCAACATCAGGGTCTTTTCCAGGGAGTCTTCTCTTCTCACGAGATGGCCAAAGTATTAGAGCCTCAGCTTCAGGATCTGTCCTTCCAGTGAGCACTCAGGCTTGATATCCTTCAGAATTGATAGGTTTGTTCTCCTTGCAGTCCAGGGGATTCTCAAGAGTCTCCTCCAGCACCACAATTAAAAAGTATCAATTATTTGGCGGTCAGCCTTCTTTATGGTCCCGCTCTCACTTCCATACATCACGACAGGAAAAACCATAACTTTGACTATTCGGACCTTTGTCGGCAAGGTGATGTCTCTGTTTTTTAAGATGCTGTTGAGGTTTGTCATTGCTTTCCTCCCAAGAAGCAGGCATCTTTTAATTTCGTGGCTGCTGTCCCCATCTGCAGTGATCCTGGAGCTCAAGAAAGTAAAATCTGTCACTGCTTCCATATCTTCCCCTTCTATTTGCCAGGAAGTGATGGGACCAGTGCCCATGAAGTATGTAGGTGTAGGGACAGATTATCAAATAATTGAGATAGTGATATTCGAACCTGTGGTGGGCCCATACCAGGTAGCTGTGACCTATTGCAATGAATGTCTATCATAGGCCCTTAAGGGTGAGTTGAATGTCCTCAAAATTCGTAACAACCTGAAAATTTGTAACATTAAAAGCAATTAGCAATTCTCCCTCACAAAAGCTTGTGAGGAACTCAATAATAATGAATTTCCTTATAGTTCTAATGATGAGAATTCATATTATATTTCAACTTTGCAGCTGTTTGAGATTTCAGTACCTTTAACGAATGTGCCAGACCCCATTCAAGTCAAAATTGCAAACCACACAAGTTGTAAGTGTTTGACCAACATTCAGCGCCAACCCTATACTGTCATTCGAAGATCTGTCCAGTATCCAGAGGAGGATCGGTAAGATCGACTATCTCTTATTCTCTCTCTTCATATCCCTATATTTTTTTTTCTAAAAAAATATACAGAATTTATCATAACGATTTTCTGGGACTGTTAGTCAATTGTACACTTCATTTAAAGGTTAATTGCTTCTTAATGCATGGGGGGAAATGGCATTTTTCAATATCGTAAAGAAAGTTCAACGACTCCTTGGAAAAACACTTTGAAATGTTACATAATTTAAGGACAGTTCCTCTTCTAGCAGCAGTTTTTCATTAGCATGGCATCTTTAATATTTATGATTTGTTTTTTAAAAAATCTGAAATTGACAAGAGGCAGCTGTGGCAAATTAAAAAACAGCAGGCAATCGGAATGTGGTTGGAGGCCTCCTTTTGATGACTTAGCAAATGTAGTTCCCTGAATCATTCCTTTGATGAGGATTCTTGTTAAAGGAGGGATAGGGATGCTTCTGTCTTAGCACATTACAGAACTTTTCCAGCAAACTCTCTGAACCATTATCCAGAACTGTGGGCAGTATAAGCAATGAATGACATATCACTTCCCATCTTTGTTTTTCTAAAAAAAAGAACAAGCCTCTAGCCATAAAGACATGAGGCAGCATGGGCAGAATACTTATTTGCCCATTACTTTTGTGGGAAACTAGCCCACTCTCATCTTTCACTGTTTGGGGCCAAGGTCATAAATCACAATTCTGTAATGGTTAATGAAGCTGCTATCTAGAGAGGTGATATCCTACTTCATTTGTCTTTCATGGTGGAGATCAGTGAAAAGCCATTGAGAAACCCGGTATTTTGGTGCAGCTATGATCAGGCAGAGCCAGTTTAGTACCGCGGATAGTATGTTGGAGTGGAACTCAAGTTCAAATCCCTGCTTATATATGAAAATTCACTGGTAGGTGGGCATTAGAAAAGCTACTCCAGAAATATCTCACAGGCCGTGAATCGGAATCAACTCGGCAGCACAAAAGAGCCTCGTGGCGCAGTGGTTAAAACGCTGTACTGCAGCTAAAACTGCTCACGACCTGCGGTTCAAATCCCAGGTAGCCAGGTGGGCATTAGAAAAACTACTCCAGAAATATCTCACACGCCATGAATCGGAATCAACTCGGCAGCACAAAACAAATGATCAGGTCATAATATGTCTACTGAAAAATGAAAGGTTGCATAAAAGGCAAGGGTTTCTGATTTGTGGTTTTTAAATCTTATTTTCTGAACATTTTCCAAAAGATTAATCTGACAATGCAGATAATGGGTTAAATGCCCATTAAAAATGCTCTTCGAATTCAGAGGCAGGAGGGAACTATTGGCTAAAAACCAAAACCAAAAACAAATGATCAGGTCATAATATGTCTACTGAAAAATGAAAGGTTGCATAAAAGGCAAGGGTTTCTGATTTGTGGTTTTTAAATCTTATTTTCTGAACATTTTCCAAAAGATTAATCTGACAATGCAGATAATGGGCTATACCCCCATTTTAAAAAAGCTCTTTGAATTCAGAGGCAGGAGGGAACTATTGGCTACTGCTGGATAGATTGAGAGTCACTCCACCCAGAAAGGTCTCTTCCAGTCAGTCACACAGAGTTCTCCAGGCAGCATGGGAGGCTGTAAAAACTCCAGCAGAGTCTGGATTATAAACAGGCCTGCAAATTAATCCAGTGTTATGCCGAGTCTGGATTATAAAGAGGCCTGCAAATTAATCCAGTGTTATGCCCATTTTGTTGAGGGAAGTCACAGCAACATGTGACAATTTGCTATGTGTGCCAATGTTGTTATCTGTGCTTTCTAGTGCAGTTGTTTTTCTTTTTTTAGCTAAATGCAAGCAGAGGACCCTGGCCTTGACTTGAAGGAGCACTGCATTTTATTAAAAGCTATAGCAGCTTGTACGACATACTTATATGTACATATAGCTTTAAGGGGTGAAATGTGATATTACATTTCTGCAGGAAGTCTGGATGGGGATCCTACTGAAGCTAGAGACAGTGTAGGCCTGTCGTGTGCACCTGGGCTTTTCATGTCTTTATATCACCCATTCCAAATTACATTTGTTGGAGCTTATCATGCCTTGTGTGTGACACTCGACTCCACTCCATTTCAAAATCCTAGGTTTTTCTGCCCCTTTGCATAGGCTTCTATAAGACATGGAGCGTGATCTTATGCAGCAAACCATACGTACAAGGAATTCACACCAGTGTGTTGGATTGGCATATGTTATGTGCATGAATTACAATATAGTCCCAAGCCAATATGCCCTCTTGGCAACAGGTCTGTTGATAACCAATGTGCAAAACTGCCACTGGTTTGTCTTTTGAGCAGCAGAAGAAAATAAGCTGACTCTTAGGAGCCATGTTTACCTTTACATTGAACTTACTTTCTCACTGTGTGCGTTTCAAGTTATTACCTTTGCCTTTTGTCTTCTTCTAGCTGCCCTCAGATAAACAAGCCGTGTCATGAAGGCTGGATATGGGATGGCCGTAAATGTGAATGTGTGATAGACGAAGATCATCCTGTCAGAAGGGAAGGTATGTGCTACATTGATAATCGCTGAGCAGCCTGCCAGTTATAAAATGCCAAGAAGAGGATTGACCGCTGCCTTGCAATTCTTGCTTTAGAAAACAATAATAAACCCACACAGGTTTTCCCAAGGGTTTCTGATTTCTATGTACATATGCTGAAGGCTAAGAAAGAGGTACCTTTCTGACTGGCCCTCCATTACAGACAAAAAAGAACAAAGAATCTAAACCATTTCCTTAAAGATGGGGGAAGCAGTCTAAAAGGAAGTCGGCAACGAGCTAAAGGTGATCACTTAGGGAAAAGCAAACAAACACCCAGTTCCATTTGGTTGGCCCTCCCCCCTCCCCCTCTCAGCTGATGACTTCCAGTGAAAAGGCCCAAAAACTCTTGCATTGTTAATCCAGCAGAAAAGGGACAGTGTAGCTAACAGCAGCCACTTAACACGGACTAGTGAGCCTCTGATTCAGTTCCCGGTTATATGCCAAGCCACACAGCCAGTGCATACTGAGGAATCCAAGTTATGCATGGTTGATTGGATGATTGTATCTTGAAACATCCTGGCATGGGAAGCTGACTTGTGTATCAAGATCCCAACAGGACAATGGGACACAATCTGGAATCCCACCCCCCTTTTAAAGCAAATTAAGGATTTATGTGGGAACCATATACAAAGTGGGTGGCACCTAACTTTAACCCATATGCACTGTTTATATCCATCAGTTCTTCCAAGGTGTTGGAGGGGGTGTGAAGACAGAAAATCTCTCTATCGTATGTGACCTGAATGCCCAAAAATCTTCAAATTTTGCACCAATGTTCTAGAGACAATTAATGGCATTACAGGGCAGAATTTTTAAAAGTGAGGGAGATCTTTTGCATCTGTGGCTATTTTCCCAGAGCAGTCCTCAAGTCTTCATTATGATCTGATCTTGTCCTAAATGGCCGTGGTCACATTAGAATTTACTCAGTGCTGACAAAATCTGGATAATCTGGCTACTGTCTTTTGAATCAGTTGGATATGACTCAGTCAGTGGATCTCTTAGAGAAATTGATTCACAAACTAAGAATATTCAAAGATTTAGAATCATCATGCAGGTTTATCAAGAAGGATGTTTTTAATGATTTTTACAGTTGCTGTTCAATTCCTCAAAAAGCCTCCATTTTATTAATGTGACATATCCATGATTCAAAACACCAGAAAATGGCCTGTTATTGCAGCACAATAACATGCCCACATTGGCAGCAGGAAAAGGGATACCATGTTTTATTTATTTATTTGAAATATTTTACCCTGCCTTTCTCCTTAAAAGGATCCAAAGCAGCTTACCTTATTAAAAGACAACATAAAAAGCTAACCACAGTGAGTATACAAATACTACAAAGGATCAAACAAATACCATAGAAACACATAAGCAACATCAAAACACATTCAAAGTTGAAGTACAGCAATTCATTTACCTCCCCCTCCACACAACTCAGGCAGCCAATCAAGAAGTGTTATGTTACAACTAACAGTGCTCCAAATGCTCATCAGTATTTTGCACAATAAAATTCAACATTCAGATTCCCTCAGAAGCTGGAGCTGGTGGTAGCAGCTGGGACCTCTCTGTGAACAACAGCATCCCAAGGTCAAATTACACATGATGGGCGCTCAATAGCTAATGCAAGGTCTCTGCCTGGAGCAATTTACCCACCCCCTCTGCCCCTCACAACAGATGTTATTCAAAGTGTCAAGCCAAGGGAGTAGAGAATCTACAACTAGAAACCAGGCATTTTATGCTCTAACCCCCTTCTTGTGGAAGAAGCTACCGCTGGCAATCAGCCAAGCAGCATCCCTTCTTACTTTCAGAAAGATGCGAAAAACTGAACTCTTCAGGACAGCTTTTAAGGGTCTTATGCATGAAAACCCCGAAGCACTTGCTTCAGTGTTTGCCGTATTATTTAGATTTAGGTGGTTAGAACATCACTGTGGGGTCAATTTTAATGCAATTGTCTCCATTCAGCAGAGGATATTATGCTCCTTGTTTTTTTATTTATTATGATTGGTTATTTGTCAATTATTAGTATGTTTAACTGTTTGTTTATTTATTCAAAAAAATTACCACACCTTTCTCTTAAAAGGACCCAAAGCAGCTTACATCATTAAAAGAAAATAAAAATCTGACAACAGTGAGTGTACCATACTAAAAAAACATAAGCAACAGCAAAGCACATTCAAAGCAGGAAGGTACAACAGTTCATTTAAAAAGTGTATTAAGTCAGCCAGTCACTCAGGGAAAGTTGGCCTGAAGCGGAAGGTCTTCGCCTGCTTGTGGAAGGACAGCAAAGATGGGGCCAGTCTAGCCTCCTGTGAGAGGGAGTTCCAGAGTCTGGGAGAAGCAAGACGGAAAGCCCTCGCCCATGTCCCCACCAAACGTACTTTTGAAGGTGGCGGACCAAGAGAAAAGCCTCTCCTGATGATCTTAACGCTAAAGCAGGCTCCTCAAAGGAGATGTGGTCTTTGAGACACTTTGAGCCCAAGCCATTTAGGGCTTTGTAGGTTATATCTAACACATAGCAAAACACACAGCAAAGGGCAGCCTGGATGTTGACAACACCAATGGCAGCAGTCAAGATGGTCTACAGGATTCTTTCTTGTTCTTACAACCCTTTACACTTGTAAAACCGCCCTGACAACTAGGTGAGAAGTGCTTAACTGATGGAAAAAGGAGCTAACATCAGGGATTTTCCCTTCCTTGGTGTTACTCTGTGAATGGTACTGAGTCGCCAAAAATTAAGAAATCTCTTTTATCTGTTTTATATTAAGATGTGCTACTTGGCATGCAACAGATGATGCCTAAGGAGATTTCTCAGCTTTAAGCAATTCACATCTAAACATTAGACTATTTGCATAACTGCACAACATGATTTTAGTCAATGTATTTTTTATTGGTTTTTAATATAAAATGGGGGAGGGAGATTTGAAATGCAAGCAGGGATTTCTTAATGAGCAGAAATTTGCTTCTGTGAGTTAACCATTTTCATCCCACTGCCATAACTATACAAGATGATTTTGGCCAATATTACTGTTCTTATTTTAGCAATCGACCCATGGATAGAACATACATTTCATCAGTTAAATACAAGACTTGTTAAAAATCTGCAGACTACTGCCTTGGAAATATACCCCCATTACTATATTTTTTAATTGTTTTATTTATTTGTTTGTTTACTTGTTTATGGTACATGCATATATATACACCGTGTTTCCCCCAAAATAAGACAGGGTCTTATATTAATTTTTATTTTCAGGGGATGTTTTATTTTTTTCATCTACAACAATCTAAATTTATTTAAATATAATCACATCATCTTCTGGTTGCTGCACAATGAGTCCCTGGTGGAGGGCGGGGTTTCCCTTAACTAGGGCTTATTTTTGGGGTAGGGCTTATATTACAAGCATCCTGAAAAATCATACTAGGGCTTATTTTCAGGTTAGGTCTTACTTTCAAAGGAAAAGGGTATATATGGGACTCATTCCCATGAGCTTTAGCAAAGTTATGTGCTGCCAACATTTAAAGAAGGACTTTATGGGGGTGGCTAATAAATCTCTGTCTCTCTTCCTGCCTCCTACAAAACATATGTCTTTTGTCTCAGGACTCTCTCCACTTGCTGAACTTGCTCTGTGTCCACCAAATATGGACTTTGATGAAGAAAACTGTGAGTGCGTCTGTAAGTGGAGGTGTGCTGGCAGTTTGTTTCAGAATAAAGAGAACTGCAGCTGTTACTTGTGCACAGAAAGCCAAGAAAGCTGTTTTCAGAAACATAAGACATTTAATGCAGAAACGTGCAGGTAAGCATTTATTTGCATCGGAGTTTTACCTTGTCTGCTTTCTTTGTAGAAGACCAGCCTTTCATAACATGGTGACGGTCATCTTCTGGTTGGAGGCTACAGCAGTTATGCTAACTCAGGATGATGGGGATTATGATTATAATTTTGCAGTCGCATTGTAGAGGACACCAGGTTGAAGGGGGCTGTTGTAGAATTTACAACGATGACTTATAACAGCATTTTAAACATAAATGAATACTTAAACAAGAGCCTTGGGGTTGAAACAGCCTGAGGTAATCAGGAGTGGGGTTTTATGCAGAACAGTGGATGCTGTTCAGTTCTGATATTTTAAATAAATTTTTGAGTTAAAAATTCTTTAATCCTGTGATTTTTATTCATGCACTATGCCTGAAAGCATGTAGATGGCTAAAGGAATGGTATAAAGAAGTGGTTCCCAACTTTAGGTAATCCATGTGTTCTTAGATTACAAATCTCAGAAGCCTTCACCAGGGTTTCTGGGAGTTGGAGTCCAAAAATACCTGGGTTACCCAAGGTTGGGAACCACTAGTGCAGAGAAATATATTTTATTCAGGTGTAAGTGAATGTCTTTGCCCTGGATACTGGCCAATGGATCTCAAAGCTCCAGTTAAAAAACAAAAACACAGAGCTTGCAAGAAGAAAGTCTGCCAACTCCACTTCAGTCTATGCCTCTGTATCTTCTGTACATGCCTTCCATGTACACATAATGGCTGGGGGAAGTTTGACATTGGTAGTGCAGGAATTATTTTTCCTTCAAAGCACTGTGTGACACGCCCCTACATGTCCCCAGATTATTTCACTAGCCTGAGGCCCACAACACGTTCCTTCCTTTTCGTTGCCACCAGTTGACCTCTGTCAACACCCTTTAATTAGAAAGATTGAGGTCCAAGCTGAGTGTGAAGTTGAACAAAACAGGTTTATTAGATAGTTTGCTTAAGTAGGTTCTTCACAGAGTTTAAAGTATTCATTAGATTAGTAATAACTTGTTTCACTCTTAACTCTCTATAAGCTCCACACTCTTAACTCCTAACTCTGCCACACTCTCTAACTACCACAGACTAACTTTTACTTCAGACTCTCATCTCTAACTCTAGCTGAATTCTCACGTCAGACAATCCTCTCTGACTTCCACTGACTGAACTTTCACATCAGACTCTCCTCCCTGGCTTAAACTGATTGAATTAACGTCTCTCTGACTCACCCCTCCTTTCTGGTTTCTCTGGCTCCGCCTCCCAACAGCTCTCATTGGTTATATGCAAATAACCTACAGTACTACATGAGCCAAAGCAGGGTGATCGCCACACACTGTATACATGTTTATAAATTGTCTCAAAACAAGCTGATTGGATCGGTACAAACAAAAATGAAATGTCCTTGAACATGTACAAAAAGGAATTGGAGACTAGACAGAAAACCATAGTTAGAAAAGGAAAAAAGGGGAAAAAAAAGAACAGCAGGACAAGTGCCAGATGAAAAGATATTCCAGTGAGTTAACTTAAAAAAATTCTGGCATAACAGAAGTTTTCTTGAATCTCTTCTTGGCCTTTTGGCTAAAATCAAGTCTAATATGATATATGTATGTATGTATGTATGTATGTATGTATGTATGTATGTATGTATGTATGTATGTATGTATGTATGTATGTATGTATGTATTTATTTATTTATTTATTTATTTAT